GTTTTCTTTATTTCTTCGCATATTAATGTGATTATGCCCCCGTTTGGACCACTTTTTTATCTCATTAATTTGAAAAATATGATCGTTATCCATCACATCAATATTTAAATTCAAATTTTCTATCTCTTGGACTCAAATAACGACTATATTTTCCATTCTCATTCTACAATAATTTGGCTCAAATAAGGATTTTTTAAAAATGATTTTTTAAAAAGAATATATCACTAATAAGTAAGAAAAGTTTTAAATTTACGGTGCAATTTTTTTTTAATGATAAATTATGCTCTAAACTCAATGATAATAAATAAAACAATTTACTTGTGTTTTAAATCTAGCATAACAAAACGAACAGTTTTATTTGGATCATGATAAGTATATTTTACACGCTTATCAATGTTCCTACATCTAAATAATATTAGTGCATATATTATTTTGACTCATGCTATGTTTACATAGGTACCCACATAGGGGTTGACATAACGTGAGTGGGGTGGGGCCCATGCTAAAGTATCGTGGGCCCCACCTCACTCACATTGTGTCGACACCTATATACAGATAGATTAATCCTATTATTTTTGTATGAAAAACCTTCAATTTGAAGATAATTGATGCAAAAAGAATGGAGTTTAAACTGAAAAGACCAAAAGAAGCAAAACATAGAACCTACATGTGAAACATGTAAGAAAATTAGAGTAAGGATAAAATTTTCTCCACATTAAAAAATGATATATCATTTGTTAGATAATTGAATTTGAAGTTCAATGAAAAAAAAATTATTACAATTCGGACTTGTGAATCGAAAGTTGTGCTCTTTCGAAGTGAGGCTATTGAAGAACTGAAGCTCGTGAACTCGAACATTTTCGGAAACAAACTCCATGTTGGTCGTTGGTTTGTAGCCAAATGCACCCCACCACCTCTGTTAAAGTCCGAGTCAATTCGGAATTCAACATTTAGGATGTGTTTGTCTTTCATTATTGGGAGAAAAATCGAGTAATGAATAGTATTTTTTGAAAAATGTGTGGTTGAAATTTAAAGTAACTTTATTGGTTTGTGTGTAGAATATTTTATTGAGTGAATATATGGTAGAGAATCTTACTGTAGCAAACAATTTTTTGGAATAATGATAAACAAACAGAGGCTTAATCTAAAATTAAAAAATAATGATATTTAGAATCAATGGTGCTAGATGTGTTAAAGTATTAGTCTAGATAGTCATCTTTGATAATTTCAATTAATGAATCATTTAATATTACATTTAAATAAATATATCATTTCATATTATACAGTTGTCACCTAACTTGGTACTTACCACACATGGTGCTGAATAACATTACTCAAAATTTAAAGCAACTTTGATATTTTCAAGTTACTCATTAAATGATAACAAGTGGTTAACTCACCTTTTTTTTTTTAATGCATTTTTTAATAGTATTTTGTTGAAAAATGTGTGGTTAAAAAGTAAGGAAAACTTTTCGATTTACGTGAAATATTATTTTATAAGAGAATGCATAATTCAAAATGAGTTTTGAAAAAATAGGGACCAAACATACGAGTATTTCTAGTTCTCTTAATAATTGACAACCATGTTATTTATTACATATGTTAGAAATTTGGTCCCCAACAAGAACAACTTTGTGTTGTTTTGGCCTCTCAACCATCCACAATTTATGATGGACATGTCCAATTTTTATGGATCTTTTATTCCAATGTCTGATATAAATAAAATAATATTTTTTTTCAACCGCTCATCTGATTTGTATGTTGTACACAATCGATGACTGGTGAATTGTGTTTCTTAGTAGTCAAAAACAAAAATAAAAGCTTTTAAAATGGCAATTCAAAATATATGATAACCAGTCAAGAATTAGTTGCTATATATTTGGTAAAGAGAACGGGTGGGTGGTCAACAATATTAAGAAATAATAATAATAAAATAAAAAGTTAAAATCGTGTAAAGTTTAGTCCAATCATAGCAACTCCGAAACTTTCCGCTTTTAGATTGTATGACACAATTTTATAGCATAACAAACCCTAATATTCACTTACATATAAATTAATGAAAAACATCTACCAGTCGAGGAGTTAAGGGTAATCTGATCGACCCTTTCTTACATATTTTCATCGACAAATGAAAAAATAGATTAAATCACAAAATATTAATTACTAGTCCTAGCAAATGTTACCAAGTTAAGAATTCTTTTTTCACTTCTTTCTACTCATGTGTGTTCAGTAGAGATTAAAATTGAAAAATTAACCGTTATTGCTGACTTTTATTAGACGAGTGAGACCCGATAACGGCTATATTTTCAATTGTAATGGGATTTTAATTTTTACCAAACAAGCATTAAGATTAGAGCTAACTAAGGTCTCATTTGGAAGGGTTTTTGCTTTTACTTTTTTTTTTTTTATTTCTTATAGAAGAGTTCCCTAAAGATTACCTTAATTAATGTTTGAAAATTAATTTTTTACTTATCTAAAAAAAAAATTAATTAATTTTTAAAGGAGTTTTCGA